AATGTCAATCTTTGGTGTGAAGAAAAGGAAACACAAAAACAAAGAAAGAAAATATTTCAATATCTAAAAATTGTTATTATTCATATTTGATGGAAATGATCGACAGTTTTGGGAAAAAGCACATAGCCCAGTGAATGTGATAAAGCAAGTTACCAGTCTGATTCATAGATAGGCAGAAAAGAGACGTGCGTGAGTGATGATGACCAAGCCACAAACTTTCAACTTACTCGAACAATGTTGTATCATTTTTATAGAATTTATAGCCCAATGGGTAATTTSCTACCCCGGACTGCATGATCGCGTATTTAAAAAGGTTGCGGGCCAATGGTGACAAGCAGAGAGAAGACACACTAAAACCCCCAGCAGAGTTACCAAATATTGTCACCCGTTTTGGATCACCTCCGAATCTGAAACCAAAAAAAAAAAGAGATAGATAGAGATCAGATCACCACAGTCTGCGTTTTCCAGATTTATTCTTAACCTATAACTTGTATTAAAAACTGGGACAAGAATATCACGGTGTGTGGGGGAACACAGCTACTCGTGCAGCTCGACCAAATATTGTGTAAAACTTGTCAAAATGGAGTTACGAGAAGTAAAACTCTAGAGGTCGAATTGCCCTATCGCATAACAACAGTTTATTTATTAAATATCACACTAAATACAACTTGTATTACAGTTGAATCAACCCTGTCAGTTAGTCTGGGACTTTCGAGGCGATAAAAAAAGAAAAATAGTATACAAATATCAAAAACTTATAGGTTTACATGAAAAAAAAAAGACAAACAAAAGTGAGCGATAAGAGGAAAAGTATGTAATAATGAGAAAATTATTTCAATATTAAGATAATGATAAAATGATCACAGAGGTATTCCTGAGGATGAAGCCTTCAGCTCGTCACTAATTTGGTCGATATCGTACCAAAACGTTTCTAAAAATCCAAGAGAATGCTCTTAATCGTTATCTTGAATTTCAACGTACGTCAAACCAAACATTCTATTGTTTTAACGCTAAGGATTATGGTCGCTAGAGGGGATCAGAGTGACTGCATTATCAAATAAAATATAGATGAGTAATCACTGATCAATGATATACAACAAAACTCGATACATTAAAGTTCTACTTTTGGAAAGAATATTAATACTGTAGGTCCAAATTTCGAGTTACAACTTACGCTGCAATGTTTCGATTCACCCACTTTAAGGCTTCCAGCTGGTCAAAAAGGCCATAGTTGCCTCTTAAACCAATTGGTCTGTGATGAAGAAAGCCCAACATATCTAGGCGGTAATTGATTGCAACAACAATAACATCTCCTAATGTTGCCAAATAACTGCCATCAGCTATTCTGTTTGAGTTGCTTAAAAATCCACCTCCATGGATCCAAAACATCACAGCTCTTTTGCTGTCACATGGCGCGGCAGGAACATACACGTTGACGTTTAAACAATCTTCATCCATGTCTTTGATTGGTGGATTGAAAGGATTAAGCGGCGTATAACTCATATCCTGCCAACAAACTTTCCCAAACGTTTTCATCTCCTTAACACCTTTCCATGATTCTCTTACAGGGCGAGGTCTCTCAAA